ATATATATATATATATATATATATATATATCTAACATTGTATTCATTTTTGTAAATTTCTAAGAGAAAGTCATACTAGATTCTACTTATTTCTTCTTTAATTTTCATATTTTCAATTTAAATTCACATATGTAAAATAGAAGTTTTGATGGTTATAACAAAACTTTCAAGTTTATTGGTGATGGAGAGTTACATATATTAATTCCAAAATATGAGCAAATGCAAGATTTCAAATCTTAAGAAACTTCTAAAACAATTTCAATCATACTTATTTTAAGAAAAAATTATTTAGAAGAAAATATTCCGCCGCGTAGCGTGGACTTTTATCTAGTCATACATATATAAGTAAGGTTTCACTCTCTTCTTATTGGTCTTTTTTTTTTTTTTTGTCAACCTCACATTAATTAAAAATGAACTCCTTGATTGGTTGCCCAATTAGGAGGAATAGAGTTTACAAAAGTAACTTCGGAAAATAATAGTCTAGAAGAACGGGCTAAGCAGTCCGCTCTTACATTACATAAACGAGAAATAAGGGAGAGCGAAAAGAAAGGGAAAAGGACACGGAGTAAAACAAATTCATCTAGCAGATTGGAGAAAGCGGGTCATTCATCAGGTGACTGTATCATCGAGAGTAACTTCTTATTGGTCTTTTTAGAAATATAATTTAATTTCTTTTTTTTAATTAAATCATAAATAAAACACATTTAACTCACACTTTAATATAAAAACTGAAATCATTATAATTCTACATTAACTATATTTTTCCACTCAATTTTATTCAACACACAATAAATTAGAATTGTAACTCCCATAATTTATTTTTTTAATTGTAACTTCTCATCCTATAAATACTCATTTCTCACATTCTCATCCTCTCACCCTCTTCCACTATATCTCAAATCTTAAATATTTTTTTGTTTTGTGTTCTTACATTAGTTTTTTTTTTTAAGTTGCATCTTCATTGTCTATTTTAAGTAATTATCTTATAAGCAATAATTCTCTCATCTTCTTCTACTATATTTATGTGTCTATTTTTATATTGTTATATGGGTTAAGAATCAAGAATTTGATTCTAAATTTATTTTAGAAAGTATTATATATATATATCTAACATTGTATTCATTTTTGTATAATTCTAAAGCCATACTAAAATATACTTATTTATTCTTTAATTTTGATATTTTTAGTTTAAATTCACATATCATACATATAAAAGTAAGGTTTCACTCTCTTTTGATTGGTCCAGTACTTGGCAATAAATTTTTTTAAAAAATATTTTCAATTAAATTACAAATAAAAAACATTTATTATATACATTTAACTCTCACTTTAATATAAAACTGAAATCATATAAACTGCATTAACTATATTTTCCACTCAATTTTATTCAACACACAAACAATTAGAATGGTAACTCCCATATTTATTTTTTAAAATTGTAACTCCTATCACTTCTCATCCTATAAATACTAATTTTTTCATTTTCTCATTCTCTCATCTTCTTCCACTATATCTCAAATATTTTTTCTTTTCTTGTTTCGTGTTTTTTTTTGGGTTGTTGTTGTATGGATTAAAAAACTCAAACTAAATATCATTGTAAAATCTTAATTCTAAATTTTAATTTCTACATTAGTTTTTTTATTTTTCTTAAAGATTCATCTCCATTGTCTATTTTAGATTATCATCGTATAAGTAATCATTCTCTCATCCTCTTCTACTATATTCATGTTTTTTTTTTTGTTATATAGGTTGAAATCAATGAAAACATTATTGTAAGAATTTGATTCTAATTTTTTCCTCAATTGTTTTGTTCCTAACACCATACTAGATTATACCTATTTTTTCTTTAATTTTTATATTTTTAGTTTTAAATTAACATATGTAAAATAAAAGTTTTGATGGTTATAACAGAACTTTTAGGTTTATTGGTGATGGAAAGTTAAAAATATCAATTCTAATCATCACACAACAAGGGAATGTAGTTGAAAAGATCCATCTCCATTATTTACATTGGATATTTGATTATTTCCTAACATATTCATGTATTTTTTAGTTATGCAATATATAATGAAATAAACTATTCTAATACATTTATCAAATATTTTTTCTTACCTCTTTCTTATCTCGAATAAATTTTTGTAACTCATTTTTAATATATGTATCATTACATTTAGTTTTTTTTGATCCAATAGATAATTATATTAAGATTATTATAATGTTTATTTTATTTAAAATTTGAGATTTAAGCGTTTTTCAAAAACGAAAAGAATTTTTTTAAAAACAAATTTGGTCCTTAAGATTAAACAAATATGACATCATATGTTTAATGAAAATTAGATTTAGTTAGTAGAAAATTAGAATGAAACATAGCACTCATACTTAAATGAAGTGAAATATAGAAGAAAAAAAACTATAATTAAATCAATATGAGTGGAATTACAAAAAAAAAGATCCTTCTATCCTTGGGTTTCTTTTTTAAAAAACTTTAGAATGAAGTTTATATTATTTTATAAAAAAACAAATTTAGTTTGTCGCTTACAAAATAATATGATTTTGATCTATTATGTGAGAGTTTATATCAACAAACAAACAAATTATTTGTGAGTTATATCAAAAATTTATTTTGTAATTTATAACATGTATTTACTATAATATGAGCAAATATAAGATATCAAATCGTAAGAGTCGTTTAAATTTCTTCTAATTATAGTTATATTGAAAAAAAATTACGGAAATTATTTTTGAAATGTTAGCATTCTTATTCTCTACTATGGAGTTTTAATTATTTCCTTACATATTCATGTATATATTTTCTAAAATTATGTGATCTTTTAATGAAATAAATTTTGTAAGAAGAAACATCTATTTTCTTACGTTTATGTTAATATAATCATAGTAAAATATATTTAGTTTTGTGATCTAACATATAATTTTATAAATATCAGTATATCTATTTCTAAAAGGTTGTAGTTAAAATTATTATTTTTCCAGCAAAATAAATTTACGAAAAACCCGTTATATAATTAGTCATTCGAATTAGTAGTAAGAAAAATAAAACTTTATCTCTATAACTTAAATTATGTGAAATATAAAAACGAGAGAAAAAGATAAAAGTAATCTTTTAGGATTGTTATTAAAAATGTAAATTATATGTAATAACAATGTTTTTTATTGAAAATATTGTTTAATACGTAATTTTGTTTAATTTTTATATTTTTAAAAACTTTCTTATTGTTTACACAAAACATAACAATTATGCAACAAGCCGCGAGTATCGCGGCTAAACAACCTAGTGTATACTAAAAGTTTTGATGGTTATAACAAAATTTTCAGATTTATTGGTGATGGAGAGTTAAATATATCAATTCCAATCATAGCACAACAAGATAATGAAGCTGAAAAGATCCATTTCCATTATCTACTTTAGATGTTTGATTATTTTCTAATATATTCATGTAATTTTTTTGATTATGTAATATTTAATGATATAAATTATTGTAATACATTTAATAAATATATATTTCTTACCTTTTTCTTATCTCGAATAAATTTTGTAATTTACATGAATATAATTTTTATGTAGTATTTAATGAAATAAATTATTGTAATACATTTAATAAATATAGTTTCTTACCTTTTTCTTATCTCGAATAAATTTTGGAATTTATTTTTAATATATATCATTATATTTACTTTTTGTAATCCGATAGATAATTATAAAAAAATTGTTATACTGTTTATTTTATTTAAAATTTGAGGTTTAAGTATTTTTCAAATTAAAAAGATTTTCGTTAAAACAAATTTGGTCCTTAAGATTAAAAAACCAAAATCATATGGTTCAAGAAAAATAAATTTAGGTAGAATAGAAAATTAGAATGAAATCATTAGAATAAAACCTAACACTCACATTTAAATAGAGTAAAATATAGAAGAAAATAACTATAGTTAAACAGAAAATCATTTTATTAAATCCTATAAAGATAAAACCATTAGTATAAAATCTAGCATTAGAATTTAAATTGATGAGTGAAAAAAAAGATAGAAGTTATCGTTGGGATCTTTTATTATTTTAATTAGAGTGAAGTTCATATGATTTTTATAAGAAAAAAAATTTAGTTAGCCACTTGCAAAATAATATGAATTTGAACTATTATGTCGGAGTTTATATCAACAAACAAAAAAATTATCTGTGAGTTCATATCAACAATTTATTTTGTAAAAGTAATAGATAACATATTTTTATGGATGTTTACATACATAAATAATAGTAAAGTAAAAAAAGTAGTAAAATATGAGCAAATGCAAGATATCAAACTTCGGTGGGAAAAGTGGAGTCAAATGGACTTACCCACTTGACTAAAGGCATATCCCCCAAATGCAACTTTATCTTTAATCTTGAAATGCAACTTTTTGGCAACCATGTTTCTGATGTAACACAAAACCAATAGAAATTTTCAAAAAACAAATATACATAGAATTTGTAGAAAATTCTATGGAGTTTTCCAACAAATTTGCATGACATTTTTTTCTTTTCATTTTTTTATGTTTATTATTAAAATTTGTTATCAGTATTTTAGTAGTGTTTAAACACAAAACAAAAAAAAAATTAAAAACTATTTTTTAATAAAAATTATACATAAAACCAAAAATTAAACAAGCTACAGTTCAATTTTTTTTGCGAAAAGTAAACTTTACACCAAAAATCAAACCCAAAACATTTAAAAACCAAAATTCAAAATTCAAAAACCAAATAAAAACTGCAAAAGATTCATGCTCTTATTCTATTATTAGTTTCGATAGTGTTTTTTTAATATATATATATATATATATATATAAAAACCTTTTTTTTGTTCCCTTTTAACTTGTGTTTTATTTCGATAAAATATCTGTGGCGTAGATTAGCGAGGTTTAGCGGTCGTTTTACATTCACCCAAAGCTGTCTCTTTTATAGCTTTTGAAAAACAATCACAAATCTCATTCTTTTAGCTAAAATCTTCCATCAATCAATCGAATTTCCCAGAAAGAGATCACGCTCTTCTTGGGTTCTCATTTCTTTATCTTATACACTTGAAATTTGGACGCTAATCTCGAAAAAGGTACCATTTTTGTAACATTGTTATCTCCGTTTTCTGAGTTTTTTTTTTTCCGTTGTTTGAGATTCTCAATTGGATTCTCAAAGGTTTAAACAATTCAATTTTTTTTATTTTTTTTTTTCGAATTAATGTGAATATAAAGTTGGAACCTTTGAAGATATCTTTGATCCAAAGAAAAGAATCAACTTTAGGTTATGCTTAATTGTTGTTTAGGGTAAGGTTTTGTTGAGATTGATATAGTTTAGAGTATGGTTTAGTCAGATTTTGTTTAATTTGATCTTTAGCTGTTGTATTCTTCTTTTATGCAGGAAAAAATGAGTTGGTGAGTTTCAGAAGCATAGATGACGATTCGATCGTTGCGGAAGCCACCGCCTGTTAAACTTGTGTTTCCATCTCTGATTATACTGTTCTTGACATGTTTGTTTGGTATTCTGACGAATTTGCAAACCATTTCGTATCTTTTCCGTCCGCTTTGGGATAAACCGCCACCGCCTTTTAAACGGATACCGCATTACTATGCGGAGAATGTTTCAATGGGACATCTTTGTGAGCTTCATGGGTGGACACCACGGTCAGTACCGAGGCGAGTGTTTGATGCCATCATTTTCAGTAATGAGGTTGATCTTCTTGAACTCAGATGGCGGGAATTGGAGCCTTATGTTTCGAAGTTTGTGATCTTGGAATCAAACACTACGTTTACTGGGATCCCGAAGCCGCTTTTCTTTGATTCTAATAAGGAGAGATTCGCGTTTGCTGAAGGTAAGATAGTACATGGAGTGTTTCCTGGGAAGAAACGTTCTAAGGGGCAGCCGTATGAGGACCCGTTTTTGCTTGAGGGGCAACAGCGGGTTGCGATGAACCGGTTGCTTAGAGAAGCTGGAATTTCGGATGGAGATGCGGTGATAATGTCAGATGCAGACGAGATTCCGAGCCCTCATACTGTGAAATTTCTACAGTGGTGCGATGGGATACCAAATGTAATGCATCTAGAGATGAGGGAATACATGTACTCCTTTGAGTTCCCGGTTGATTACAGCAGCTGGAGAGCTTCTGTCCATATATATAGTAGGAAGTGGACTCAATACCGGCACTCCCGACAAACAGACTTGATATTATCCGACGCAGGGTGGCATTGCAGCTTCTGTTTCAGACGGCTCAACGAATTCGTTTTCAAGATGAAAGGTTATAGTCATGCAGACAGAGTCAAACGCAAGGAGTTTTTGGATTATCAGAGGATACAAAAACATATATGTAAAGGTTATGATCTCTTTGACATGCTTCCTGAAAGATACAGCTTCAAAGAGTTGATTAGCAAAATCGGACCCATCCCGCCTTCTGCATCTGCGGTACATCTACCTGCCTTTTTGATTCAGAACGCTGCTCGCTTTCGGTTTCTCCTCCCGGGAGGTTGTCTCCGAGAACCCTAGCTGAAGATTAAGTACAAAATAGAGAAGCAATAGTTTCTTGTTAAAAAGGTTTTTGGCATCACACCAACTTAACCTTAAACAACAGATAAATAATAAAATAGATCGTTATCACATGTTCTGTTTTCTTAACAAAACATAGGTTGATTACAAAACCGTGCCAACGACCATCAAGCCAAGCTTGAGCACCGTCATCATTAGTCCCACTCTTGTACCAAATTAATTCAACCTTATAGACAAGCAAAATATGAAATCAAGAAAAGGTAAAGCAACATAGCTTATATTGGACTCATTGTACGCCGGCCGGCGGCCGGTAACTCTACTAAACGAAGAACTGCAAAGAAACAATATGACGAAGAACCAGTGATTGAAGATCAAAAATTTATCGATTGTTTACTCTTGAAACGAGCTCTCCTGGTCCGCGGCAAGCCAGCAAGCGAACCTAATTTGGACCTTTTTCCCCATAGCTGATAACGCCACAAACCTTTACCTTTCTTCTACCGTTTTATTCAAATTTATCTTGTTTGTTGTCTTTATATAACAAAGTGATTATCACTGTCTTTACCTCTGGCTTGAGAATTCATGTGAACAATGGCAGAACTAAAAATAATGTAATTGAGGTAAAAATAAAAATAAAAATATATATATTAATCACATATTGAATAACAATTTCAACATTATTGAAAGAAAAAAACAATAACAAATGATCGGAAGAGTTGTGTTTCTTATCGTAATATGTCTCTTATGTTTTAAGGAAAATGTTTTACTCATATTTGTTGTTATATATATGTTCACATATATTGTTATTTAATTTTCAGATTTTTCGAGTGTCTTCTTGCTTTTAGTGAAGTTATTCGACTAAAACTGACAATTCAGTCCAAAGTACTGTAAAACCGATGTTTAACCAAAAATCAAGTATATAATAGTCTCCTTGCAGCACAATGTAAGTAGTTATTTTCAATGAAGAGATAGATAGGGGAAATTAGAGAGACAAAGTATCCCAATGCGTGTTTTAGCTCTTATGCGCCTTCCGGGACTTTGTAAACTGAAATATCAAAAGAAATATGAATTAGATGATCGATAAACTAGTGAGAATTGAGAGGAAGCAGAGTCTAATGATACTTACCTCCGCAATAAGATCCAGGGACTAAGAGGTCGCCGCATGCATGAGAGAGTTTGGAGAGCTTATTAAAGTCAAAGTTTTCCGAAAACATTTTTGTAACGTTTTGGCATATACATTTCATCTTGTTCAATTTTATAGTATCACAACAAACTTTCAGTGGAAAAACCCAAGGAACACCAAGCATGAGAGAATCACCACAATAATCATATTCTTCAGAAATCTCTGTCCAACTACACGAAGCATCAACTTGGGAAGATGATGTTACTCTAGTGACTAACAATGTTAACATAAACATAGAGACTATAGTATAAGCTCTCGCCATTTTTTCTCTTTCTTTTTTCTTATATGTGCGCATTTGTCTTTAGAATCTTCATCGATGCTTTGATATATACTACAAACCCATTGTAACGGATATCGAATCTCACAATTATGAAGGAAAAAATATGGTCAATCAGTAGAAAATATTAGTTACTCATTTACCATTTTGAAGAAGTCAATCAATAATACCATAAAAGTTAAAGGGAAACATAATAATAAAGAAATAAGAAAATTGGGAAATAAAATAAAAACAGAACATATTGAAAATGTAAACAATTTCACATTTTAATAAAGCACTAAACGAATGAACGAAGAATGTTGAACACTATATATCGTGATAGTCAAGCAAGGTAACAAAAGCATATTACAAATATATATTCACAATAATAAAATTGAAAAGAGATTAGCTTTGGTTCGAATCTAGAAGTTAATTTTTTTTTTAATACTTTGAATATTTTCAGAATTTCAGTTCCTTTCAAACACACGTTGCACTTGATGTATAAACGTTTATTTTCTTTTGAATATAATTTAACATTACATTCAAAAAAAAAATTGAAAAGATCTTGGCGCATTATATAGGATTTAACATAGTAATCGAATATTGTTTCATTAAAAAAAAATCTCCATGTACACCTTTTTGATTAATGAAAAATCATTGACATAAACATTTTGATATTCTTGAAATCATAACGTTTTAAACCAAATTTTCATGTTTACTAAAAAAAAAAGTAATGAAATAATTAATGTACCTTTTTCCCTGTCTTACTATTATAAATTTGATTATTGAGTAGCAAAATCGACAAGCTTGAAAAATAGAAACATAATGAGAAATGAATCATTTAGAATTGAAGGAATAGTGTTTGAAGTTTTTTCACTTCTTTTTCTTCTTCTTCTTGGCTGCTTTTTGTCCACTAGAGCCACCACAAACAATAGAACACTCAATGCCACAAATGTTACCAAAACATGAAAACAATCCATTATCTCCTCCTTTCTTGTTCCTCCCACTTTGCTTTTGGATGGGAGCTCCAATCATCTGAGGATTTCTTGGGACAATTTCGTTAGGCTTGTAACTTGATTTAGGGTTAAAGTTAGAGTTTGTTTTGTAGTCAGAACTTGGTTGATAACTTGAACCCACGTCTAAAACCACTGGTAGATTGGCTTGCCACCTTTCTAGCTTGGAACGAAGACCCTCGACGCTTCGTTCACCAACACTTATCACAGTACTCTCAGCATCTTTCCCTGTGAGTGCCTTCTCTTTTGCTATTTGGGCAGCAACCACTGAGGCTGAAGGACCTAAATCAGATTCTGTAATAACGATTGGTCTTGACCTCATTGGTGTTCCATATTCGATATTGTTCCTTTTGGGAGTATATGCTGTCGTGTTCCTTGGCCTCATCGGTGTCCCATACACGATTTGTTGCTTTTTTTGCCTCAACAATGTATTCGGCGTTTTTCTTTGAGGCTCATACACAACCATTTGAGAGTCAGATGAAAACTCATCTTTCTCAAAACCTGAGTTTGTAGTAGAACTCACACGGGATTGTGTCACCTTCCTTGGTGAATCCACCATTGAGCTTGTATCACTTTTTGACCGTCGAAGCCCTACAGGTTTTGAAGATATGTTTTTCTTGTGAAACAACAAATCTTCTTCAAACAAAAGAGGCATGCTTTGGCCTGAGTTATCGATAAGCCCCACCGCAATGTTTAGAAGGCCGTGAGGGCGGCCCGAGGCACGAAGAACCTCTAGGGTAACAAATCTCATAGCCGAAGAAGGGCTGACAAGGTCACTTATTAAGGTTTGTACCGTTCCAACATGAATGTCTTTGAACCAATGCAATGCATAGATCTCTATAACAACTATTGATGTGGCATCGTAGAGTGCTTCCTCATCTAGACGAAACACAAACTTGTCGTTCCATGTAGGGCTTGTTCCACCCGTATTGTCGACCCGAGTCGTCAATTTACGCTCTGGATCAATCCAAGCGATTGCATATGTCTTCATACACCGTGCCACGGGCGCCAATTCTTGGGCCGAAATAATATTCAGCTCCAAGATTTGACAAGGCGCAAGAAAAGACATTTTTTTCTTGAAAAAACTAAATCTGAAAAAGTTAAGGAAATGGAGAGGATGTTATTTCGGTGGACACAAAGACAGATCCGTCGTCGTCCTTGGAGGGGACGACGAAGGAAAGCAATGCATGAAGATGAAAATGGAAAAGCAAATTGACAAAGACACCCAAAAATAATAATAAGCAAAAAAAGATTTTTTCTTTTTTGTTTATTAATTTCTTGTTTTGGTTTTTGTTATTTTAGAACACCGAATCAATTGCATTACTTTCCGTTGACTACTATTTTCTTTCATTGATCTTCTCTCAATATTTTTAGATCTCTCTTTCACTATTTTTTAGATTTTATTTTAGGTTAATTTCTGTTATTTTTTCTGAATAATTCCAGAGTTTATAGATATTTGATATTGTTACAATTAGAAATCGACTTATGGAATTTCTGTTTGGTTCTCTACGGTGTGTGTTCTAAGAAAGTAAAAGATTGCAAGTAAATTTTTGAAAAAAAAACTAATAAAACTTACGAGTTCAAATTCTTAGGAGAATCTTTACGTCCCTCCGAAGAAGAAATTTGAAAAATCCACTAAAACCTTTGCTCGAACTTCTTAAGCCATCTGTTTCCATTTTTCTAGGAAAATCGACGAATTGTCTATGGTAAAATCTTTTAGGCGTTGTCAAATCATACAATTATTTTTTTTTTGATAAACTTGTAAATATCATATATAATGAAATGTTTAGGCTTTACAAAATATAGACATTAACCTTACTACCTTGCCAAAAAAGAAATAAAAAACAAGGGAGTAAAAACAAGAGAGTTAAAGAACTCATTCTAACCACAGTTGCATTAGATTAGAGAATTTGTTGAGATGTCTTCTAGCCGTAATCGAGTTACGAACAATCCGGTCTGCTTCCCTGAAAACAGTCGAAGGGGGGATGACTTGATGATTGTGAAGGAGGTTGTTCCTTTGTTTCCAAATCCCATAAATAAGTGCATGAGCAACCAACTTTCTAAGAAGAGAGGGAGATCTTTGACATGATCCCTCTGTCCAAGAAGTTAAAGCCTGCCAAGAATCAAAGGTCGTTGGTGGGACATCAAGTCTTCTTTGCGCCTTGTGCCACATCTCCTCACTGAAAGAACAAGTCAACAGGAGGTGATCTCTTGACTCAGTAGCCCCATTGCAGAGGCAGCAGGTGGTTGGAATAGACATACCCCAAGAAGCCAATCTTTCTCTTGTAGGTAATCTATTTAGTTGGCAAATCCACATTAAGAAGGCATGTTTTGGAGTAGCTCCTTTAAACCAAACCACATTATACCAATTCTTCAATGAATCTGAAGGTTGAAGGGCTGACCAAGTCTTCGCAGAAGAGAAACCTTTACACTTAATACCATCAACGAACCAGCCATATTTGTCATCTCTGGAGCTGAGCGTAGGGAGGGACAAGGTGGTTAGATGAGCCTGTAAAAATAAAGCTTGGTTAGATCTCGCAGGAGGCAGAATCCAGCCATTCCCATTGCAAACAGAGGAGACTGTGGCATTAAGCGGAATCCTGAGGCTTCGTGGACCAGAATCTCCAATGTAATTTATGAGAGGACCAAGAGGAGTCCACACATCATACCAGAAACTTGCGACTTTTCCATTACCAACCTCGCATTTCAAGAACTTGACAGCCAAGTGTCGAAGCTTAAGAATAGATTTCCACGTCCACGAGTCACCATTTCTAATTTCCAAAGCCCAAAAGTTTTTATCCCTTAGGTGATAGTGCCTCTGCCATGCCACCCATAGAGAGCCACTCCCAGAGAAAAGTAACCAGATTAACCTTAGACATAAAGTCGCATTCCACACGGAGAAGCTTCTCAAACCCAAGCCACCCTCCTTTTTTGGCAAACAAACAGTAGACCAAGCTACCTTACTAACCTTTGGTTTGTCGATGTTTCCTGACCATAAGAATCTTGAACATAAGGATTCAATTTTCTTTATACAACCCTTAGGTAACATGAAGGTTGAATCATACAATTATGATGATTAGCTACAAATAATTCGTCAATGTCTAAATAAGATTTTATTTACACAATTGATCGCCCATCTATTGATGCAGTGAATGTATACAAATTTTTGGTACAGCATAAAGCAAACTCTAGCTCGAGTTCTTTCTATCTCTTCTTGTCTAGATGGTCATAAATGGCATCTTTCAGGCTACACTGTTGTCTGATTATCTCCTCTCGTACAACGAACTAGAGTGTATGAATAGTCCAACATGCAATGATGACCCTCATGGATTTAGCAAAGGATTTAAACATCTTAAACTTCTGTCACGTACCTATACTTCCCTTTTGTAGTCACAGCTAAGACACGTCTTGAAATAAGTCTACCACAATGGCTTTAACAAATGGAAACCTTATCGACTTTGTACCAACTATATCGTATTCTTGGTTTTAAACCAACCTCCACATACCACATATATATATGGATGAGAGATCAAAAATTTTCTTTTTCACTTGACGAATATCCTCTTCCTAAACATAGTTTTAGACTCGAGTTATGTTCCACTAACATTGTAAGAGCATCCCTCATACCCCATAAAAGTTGAAGGTGTTGAAACAAAGTTAATAGTGAGTAATAAACATATTTGACCTTTTGTTTAATAAGTTTGTTGGAGATAGCAAATAAAAACATAGATAATGTAGTAAAGATATAGACGGAGAAAAGAGAAAGCATGAAAGTTGTTTACATTGAGAGGAAGAGAAAGAAAGAGAGGGACAAATGGATTAGATTCTAGAGGGAATGAGAGGAATGTGGTGCTGAAGATAAGTAGAAGCAGCTGCAACTCCACTTCCCATTACAACTGGGTACCCAACATCCTTCAGTATCATCTCCACTCCCGCAAGACACCCGAGAAGTTGCAACTGCGTTTGATTTATAGAGTAGTTAGAGTTTGATCAATTAAAATTGGATTCTTTAGATAAAGTTCAATATGTACCTCATTCACGTTTCCTAGGTGTCCAATTCTGAAAACCTTTCCAGCCACTTTGTTGAGACCAAGACCAAGACTTAAGTTGTACCTCTTCCATGCCCTTCTCACAATCTCCGAACTGTCTATATGCGGAGGCACCATAACTGCTGTCACTGTGTTACTTATCCACTCCTCCTTCTGTGTGCAGTTTTTCAGCCCCCATGCTTCCACCGCCAGCCTACGTACATGATAATATTAACAATGCAAACTCTAGTTGTAATGTATCAAGAGAGTCAATGTACTAAAAGACTTTAAGAATCAAATATTCGAGATCACATATTCGAATACTAGCATGGAAAGAGGGTATGTTTTCACCTCTGTTCTGGAGATAATATGGATCAAAAGCGCGTTACAAAAAAAAACTTAATTACCTAGTGGCCTTTCCCAAACGAGCATGACGCGCGATGATATTCTCAAGTCCTTCCTCGAAGATAAGATCGAGAGCAGCCCTAAGACCGTAGAGGAGTTGAATGGAGGGTGTGTAGGGCCAATATGTTCCTAGCTTGTAAAACTTGAGGTAGTCATTCCAATCAAAGAATACTTTGAGAGATTTAGAAGTTTTGGTAGCTTCCAAGGCTTTAGGACTGGCGCAGACAATACCAAGTCCTGTTGGAAGAGATAAGGCTTTCTGAGAGCCGGTCAAGGCGACATCCACTCCCCACTCATCCATTCGGAAATCAAGCGCACAAATGGACGAGACACCGTCCACTAGCAGCAAAGCCGGGTGCTTGTAGTGATCTGTGTGTATACGCTAGTGTAAGTGAGATTTAAAACAGAGGAAACACAAAAGACAAAGAGATTGTTTGTGAGGAATTAATGACCGAGGAGTGTGCGGACAGCAGAGATGTCATTAGTGACTCCGGTCGCGGTCTCGTTGTGGACAATGCAAATGGCTTTGATGGTGTGATTCTCGTCTTGTGAGAGCTTTGAGGCTAAGACTTGGAGATTAGCACCTTGTCCCCACTCACTCTCAACCACATCAACATTGAAATTTAGCCTCTTCTGTTGGTCAATCCAGAGCAAGCTAAATTGTCCAATCAGAAACGAAACGATCCTGTCTCCAGGAGATAACGTGTTGGTCAAGGCACTCTCCCAAGCACCAGTCCCTGTAGTGGGAAACAGAAACGGTGTCCCAGATGTGGTCTTGAATATCTTCTTCACATCCTCCAACAATGTTTTTGTAAGCGCCGGAATGGCTGGTGACCGGTAATCCTCGTTGTTCCGGTTCATCGCCCGGATTACCGGTTCTGGTATGTTCACTGGTCCAGGTACAAACAGATGGTGTCTCCCTGGTCCATACATATAGTCCATTTTTCCCCTGTTCTTTTTGCTCCTCCTATACACTGTCAAAATTTTACAAACTCCCTAAATATACACAATCTCATCTTTCACTGGAAAATCGAATATAACTAAGAACATGTGGCCATAACCATATATATGAATTATTATTGCTACTATCAACTCCATGAAACAATAACATCATCATATTAATAGATAGATATACTTGATCATATCTCATATAAACCAAGTAACCAACATATGTATTTTCAAAGAGTTATAAGATGTTTCATAGGCAAAGATCATAAACAAAATAAGAGTAACAAGCGGAGAAAACGAAGAAGTAAAATTTGCAAAGGAGAGAGAAGTTTAACCTCTGAATAAGGCGGAAGCTCCTGAGGGAGTTTTGGACTCCTTCGTCTTCACAAACCTCTTTAATATATCTTCTTCTTTTTTTTTAATTTATTTATTTATTTTCAATTACATGTTGTTTTTGTAAGTAGTTTATTTTGTTATTTAGTTTATCCCAATCAAGTAGCTTGCCTTATTGGAATCTTGGCCGCGTGGCAGATAAGAGCAACGTGAAAAAATCTTTGAGCTTACGTATGGCTCACAATGCATTTGTATTACCTTTGCATATTTGCCCTTCTTCTCTATGTATTTTGTAGTTTTCCCCCATTAGTTTATGTTGGTGGAATCAAAATAATAATAATAATCAAATGGTTTTTTATACCGTATGAGTGATCAGGACTTTCACTACATAACTAATTCCTTTATAAGTGTAGTCGTCGATTAGTCCATTCATCGAATTTTTTAATGGGCACTATTTTCTTGAAAAATTAAATTACATGTAAAGTATTAAGCAATGAAACTTCTGCTTACTTTGCATTCACATATCTTTTTGATAAAATTCGGAATAAAAAGTTGATAATAGTTGGATAAATCTAGTGGTTTCTTTGAAAGATGAGAACTCTAATTCGTATCTACTAAAAAAGATTTATTTGTGAAAAAAAATATATTCAAAGCTGTTTTCGAATCCACGAAGATTAGGATCTAGACCCAAATTTTGTGGCAAAAAAAAAAAAAAAATTATAGTGGGGGTGGGTGGCGCAGTTGACTTTGAAAAAGTTGGGGGATAAAACAAAAGTTAAAAAAAGAATTAGGGAGGGAATTGTAATATAAGAAAATAAGAAAGATAAGAGGTGGAAAAAGGAAGAGGAGAGATAAGGAGATAAAAGGGAGAGAGCCACACAAGTTGTTTTTGCAACAAAGACCACACGACCAAACGCCGAATCCTCGGGGCACTTCCTCACTATCTCTCGCTCTCTTGTTTTATGTTTAGGATTATTATTGCACTAGATGACACACATTATACAAACTATATTTAGGTCAATAGCTATTGAATGTACAATATGGAGATTTTGTAAAATACAAACTATATTTGGCCAATCGATTAAGATGTTTGAATTTCTTTTGCACAAAATTTTGGATTTAAGAAAAAAAAAATTTAGAATAAACATTGGAGATTATCTGGTTTTATTAGCATAGATTTCAAACAGCTTGGGAAAATGTTTTAAAAAGATAATATGTCGTCGAATCATTTTGTGTCACACCTTATTACTATAACAAACATGATTAATGTCGAAACAAGTTATAGTAGATGGGGTTTCGGACGTACGATAATGGAATTAGACCAGTTTGACACTTTAAATCGGGACATTGTAAACACTAAAAGGTTTTCCTTCTTTCAAAATGTTCAAAATTGAATGATTATGTGGTGCCTTCAAGCCTAAGTGTCGATTGTTTTGTTTCATGTTTGCTATGAACTAATTTGACATTTAAACTCACTTTTAAAAGTTGTTTGGGTGCAAATATTCTTGTATGGAGATGAGAGTACTTAAACGGGCAAGCAGTGTTAACATCTCATTTCTACTTAGGTCGTGGGTAGGTGTTATAATATTTCCCTCTCACTAGAGGTTTTTGGCCATTATAAAACTTACAAGGTAAATTGTAAACAATTTAAGTTCGAAAGATATACACTAAACTTAAGTTGTTAGCTAATGTGATCATTATTTACTTTAAATCCGATTAGTTTTTGAATTTTCTACCCTAGAAATTTGACAAGTGCTATGAGGTTGCTGCACATCGACAAATATTCGGTTGACGCATCAAGAATTGTGACACAAATTTCCTCAATATGGGACAAATGAGGAAATGAATAACCACACTTTCTTTGAATCATTGAATGTCTCCCTACTCTACATATTTGGGCTTTATCACCTGTCCCAACAACACCATGTTTCTTTTATCATCAGTTTTGTATCAATGGATTTCCCTTTTTGGTGTCAATCAAATCATGTTGGGTTAGAGCCCTTTTTTCTTTGGATAATGTGGTATATTTGGAAAGTCATGAATTATAAGTGATTTCAGAGTGTGCTTAGGAACCATCATATTTAGTCAATAGTGTCCAAAGCGAAAGTAAAGCTTCGATGGATGCACAAATACTCCACTCAACACATGGAGAGTCTCATTATACTCAACTAGGTGTCGAATTTATGGATATGGACTCTCTAATCTCTCTTCGGATTTAGGGTTTAGACTGGATTTGAATGCATGGAAATATAACCCTATTAATGGGAGAAAAAGGATAAAGAGCTTGTCAAATCCTTTTATACTAAGATCTGAATGATCGTATATACAAATCATGGCGTGGGCCGTGGGTGCCTTTTTCCATTAAAACTTTAGAAATGTGAAAATGAGAAACACAGAAAATAAAGTAAATTAAAATTAACAAAACTGGTAATGTACAATTTGCTCTATTCCGAATGGGTAACATATATATATAAAAGGAAATGGAGTTCAGCAGGTTGACTACGTCCACAACTATTTATACCTAAGCAGACCACCTGGTAAGTGCTATCTCTTTGCTCAATAACGAAGTTTCGGCTTTCTCGGGTATATGTATCATTCCGTCAGCATCAGCTAGTCGAGCATGCCAATCTCCAATTTGACCAACCAAAACCGAACATTGCTGCTGTGTTTCCGACTTTTTTAAAAAAATTGAATTTTCCAGGTATCTATGTTGTTGAACTTCTGAATCCATGACCAAACCAGAGTTCAACCGGCAAATGCACATAATAATGTATGGTGCGAGAACAGAGTTAACTTATCTTGGGGGAAATCCAGTTTGACGTGCCCGATGGCTTCTATCCAATGGTCCAGGGCCGAGTATTCCCAGCGAGTTAGAGTTTGTTATCGGTGGTCTCTCAGACTGCACATCGTTTTCTGTTCTTCTTCTCCGTTTCCATGCTTCAAATTTTGCTGTGTCAATGCCCTTGTGAACCTGCTGCGATCCTTGGGAATTCCCTGCTGTTTTGTATTTTTGTTGCCTCTGGAAGTTCCTAGAGCCATTGAGGTGCGATGGTCCGACCCCTTCCTCTTCTTCTTTCTCCTGCTTCAATTTGGAGTAGATCTGATTGAGTCGATCCCCCGACAAATTTGAGAAAGTTGAAACATAGTTCCACAATCTCATTGTCATTCCTGCATTTTGATTTCCCGTTAATGATACAACCATGTGCATTAAAATGGTTATCTGAGTATAAAAGTATTTTGTGACTTAGAGCTAACAGGGTTTATCCAACTATTCGGACTTTTACAAAACAGAAATGTTGCTGCAAAGTAACCAGATATTGCATTACTTACTATCTTGCTTGTATAAATCTTCTTCATGTTCTAAGACAATGTCATCTATTCTTCGCCCAAGGATTTCCAAATATCTCCGGATTTTGAAAAGCACCTATTTGTGGGACACAAGGAATTTTGAGAGAAGATCAGATAAAGACGCAGGAAGTCCAGCACTATTAACGATGGAAGATAAAATGAGACCTTCTCCTTTGGCAGATCTGCACTTGTGGTTTGCAATCTTTGTAAACGTCCAAGAGTTTTGATTTCATCAGCCAAGACATCTTCACACCATTCCATCCATTTCTGCTCCTTGAACTGCTCGTAAACTTCCCCATCATCAGACATTTCCCCTTCTTCCTTCACCAATGGCTCAGCTTTTTGGGTTTTCCGAGGTCCATCTTTTGTTGATATTAAACTTACATTGGCAGGACCAGATTTTCCTCTTCGGTCTCTGGCAGGTGCTTTAAATTGATTGATAAGATTATCCTTGACCTTTTTGGAATTTTTACGGGATGCTTTGGCATTTGTATTTTTCCCTCCTGCTGCAGCAAGTTCCTGTGAAGAGTAAATTTCATACTGTCAATCATTTCTGCAACGAACGTTATTACAAAACTTAATAACTAAGAGAAATCTTAGCAAGTAGTATGCACCATTTCCAGAAGTGCAGTGGCACGCTCCTTTAAGTTTGGAGCACGAGGTAGAAAAGTCTCATGGTGTTGAAGTTCAACAGGAGCAATCTTCTTTGTAAGTCCAAGGCTTTCATCTAATCTTATCTTTTCCCAATTCCCAAAACCATGATAAAGTATTCCCAGAAGCAATCTCGCATCATCAACTGAGAACACCAAATAAGAAAAAAAAGAATTAGGATGAAAAACATAAGACAGATGCTGATATGATAATATTCAATTAGGTTGCACATACTCTGATTCCAACCACAACCCTTGGACCAATTTGAAGGTTTAAGGTATGACAACACCCGGAATTGTGAAATTGGATCGTCATATCGACTAATGCGCTTTGATAGGAGCTGCAGTCCTTGCACACGTTTTAAGAGTTCGTTTGCTTTAACTGGCACACCAAAGAAATCCAAGACAGGACCCTGCAGAGAATAGAAAAGAGGAAGATTGGAAATAATATCCAAGTGAATAACAAGGAAAACAAAAGAACCTCTATTTCAGATGTTTTATTTCAAGTTTTACCTTTGGTTCAAAATTTCCTGTTTCAACAGATTCCTTACAACCATCAATTAAAGCATCAAATAGCTCAACTTGTGCTTCTTCCGGGGCTGCTTCAACAACACCACCCACCTCTTCTGCAATACATGCAATTTGATTATGGTTCCCGAACTTCATGACCTGAATTATACAATGAGAAATGTCACAAGTGTCAGTTCAACATCACGGAGTAAAATAAGTATACGAGTCAATCAATCATTGCGGCTGAACAAACTAATGGTACTAAGGAAACCCTAACTGAAACCATGAAATCATTGCGGCAGAACAAATTGAGGAGCCTTAAATTCAAACCTTTTTCCACTACTTAGAAAATATGCCGAAAGAAACATTAGATAGGAATAATTTTGACGTACAGTTCGATAAAATCGTTGCGCATCTCTCTTAGGAAGATTTCCATAAGACCAGCCTCTCACTTGAGCTGAAGTCCCCTCTAATATTGGAGTTGAAGGAACAAAATATTCAGTTTTTCTGCGCTTTTGACTTCTCTCTGTATGCTCCGGAGGCTCAGATCCTTTCTTTTTTCGTTTGCTAGTCCTGTCAGGATGGCTAGGATCCACATAACTCTTTGTATTCCTAGCAGCCCGTGGTGCAAGAGCTTCCTACACAAAGGTAATACAGGTTTAGAAACCGAAAAATCTAATCAGACTATGTGAAAAAAGAAACTAAGACATAGGAGGCCATATTCTTATAGAAGATAGAATTTTTACTTCGGCCGTAACCACAGAATCAGGTTTTATCCAGCGACTCCAGAAGGACCCATCATCTTCAGCGTTGCAAAAGTTGGCAACCTAAAAGCACAGAAAAGTTAGCGGAGTAAAGGATTTCACAAAAATAAGCAATGAAAAAGGGATTCAGAGATTTATGCCTAGAAACTGTTTCGACAACAGAAAGAACAAAAAGAACACAAAGCAGCACTTGAAAGACGATTTCAGTATCTTGATAAAGAACAAGCAGCCTTCCAAGCAGATAATAGGCTCAGGCTGCTTTGCTTTCTTGCATCTATTAGGTTCACCTTAAACTAAAGACAGAAAGATCAAAAAACATCTGAACTTGCCTTAAAAGCACCCAACAGTTCGTGTTCTGTTTCATCAGTATGCTTTTCCTCAACTTGCTCTGCCCTCTCTAAGATTTCATCAATATCCATACTCAACAGCCGCTTTTTGCTTTCCTCATCATTTTTATCCTCTTTAAAAAGTTCTTCCGCTCCAAATCTCAATATTGCAGAAAGCTCGTTCTAGAATACAAGTAATGGGTCATTCTTACAGTAATTAAACCTTGAAAGGAAATCAAACAGACACGACAAACTTTCAAAAGATACCCTTACCTTGTCAAAATTACTTCCCTTTTTAGTTTCTCGCTTCTCCAGCCTACCCTCCGCATTCAGTTTTTGAATAACCAAATGATCAAGAACCTAGAGAATGGTGGACGAAAAAAGTTACAGCCTACTATAACAAAGCGATACAAATAAAAATTTGGGTTTTGAACCTATCTCATCCACAGGCGTTGACTTCCAAACATGAATAGATGACAACACAAATGAAGTGAACAAGAGAAACTAAGATTATAGAGCAACCCCCCAAAAATAATAACATAAAATTGCAATTTAAACTTGACTATATAACAAGCTAAAGTATTCCCACCATAGAATTGGTAACAGAGCTGAAGTGGAATCATTTCATGAAGCTGAGGATGCAGAACTAAGGAATTCATTGGCGCTGCTAAAAAATCAAGCAAACATAATCTGTGCATGGATCCGTCTAAAACTAGTATACCATTTTTCTTTTGGCGCGCTCCAGGATCTCTTCTTCAACACTTTTGCTAGTGACAAATCTATAAATGTTCACGACCTCTTGTTGCCCAATTCTGTGCGCTCGACTCATGGCCTGATATAATAGGGTTGGGATTCCATTATCAACATATAGTAAAAAAGAGTAATAATCCAAAGGTAGAGAAATTTTATTGGAGGCAAAACCTGCAGGTCATTCTGTGGATTCCAATCAGAGTCAAATATAACGACTGTATCAGCAGTAGCAAGGTTGATACCCAGTCCACCAGCTCGGGTCGAAAGAAGAAAGCAAAAGTCGTCACTAGCAGGTGCATTAAAATGATCCATTGCCTGCTGACGTAGTTCTGCCTTAGTACTACCATCCAGTCTCTGGAACTGGAAACCTCTAAGAGACAGGTATTCCGCCAGGATATCTAACATTCTTACCATCTGTAAGGCAAACAGTGCAAAATGATAAATTCATAAAGTTCAAAACATATCTTGTACGAGTTAACAATACAAGAAAGCCTATCCACAAGGTGAAAGACTTTTAAGGCTTCTAATCCAAAAGAGCTCCAGTTTTCCTAAAAAAATTTGATCGCTAAATGGTTATCGAGAAAGCAACTTCTGTGTAACAGTAACAAACGAGTCTTATACGTTCATAATTTGGTTTCCCAGAAGTGCCTTCCACACAATAAACTAAAAAGTACAACCAAAAATGACTCAAAGTAATAATCATATACAAACGAGGGACCTTCGGCATTATTCTGAACCATCTGACGAGATATGGAAATAAGTATAACTGAAAGAAGTTATCTACTACAGAAAAGAAAACCAGATACATGTCAATGACGAACAAAAGTTCATTTCAATAAGAGAAAACCCATTATGAAGAACAAATGTCACTGAACAGCACCAACGGGAAGATAAGCACAAGGTGCTTTAGTCTAACAGAGTCTAACAAGGGAGCAGCAGGAGAATAGTGGAACTGATATATGACAACATTCATTTCAATAAAGTAAAAAACTCACTAGTAAGAATAAAAGTCATCGAACCGCACCTGAGAAAAGATAAGCACACGATGCTTAGTCTCACGCAGTCTAACCAGTAGCTTGTCTAGGATAACTAACTTTCCGCTGCTTAGAATGATTTTATCCAGCTTAGAGTTATCGTTTATGTCACCCCCATATCCATGGTCTGCGCTTTCAAATAAGAAAGGATGATTGCAGCATTTCTTCAACTCCACCACAATGTTTAAAAGTGAAACCTGTCATTGTAAATCAGAGATTGTCAGCTTGACAACTATAATACCTACAAACTTAAGAAGTCGGATGCATATTCAAATAATCCACCTAATTTACAGTGCAGGGGAAAAGGAAATAACTATTTCATAACCATAAATATGAGAACCTGGATGCATCATTAAGTCACCCACCTGATTACCGCGCACCCCTTTATTTAAATCATGGAAGTTGCGCTCCAATATCCATTTGTAGTACCTAAAATAGAAAAAAAAAAAAGAATATAAGTAACAATATTTAAAGCCATCCAGTCAAAAGCATCAGCTGAAGTAATGCTCACTGTTTCTGAAGAGGGGACATCTCAACTCTTAGTATACGCTCGATTTTTGGAGGCAACGACTTTTCAACATCTTTAATCACTCGTCGTAGAATATGGGGTCTCAATTCTAAATGAAGGTTGGCGAGCTAAATTCCAAAAAAGTATAAGCTAGTGGTCGACTAAATAATAAATCAACTATATTTCATTAAGACGGCATACTATTAAGCAATGGAAAAGGCTTACCTCAGATTCATTAAATGAGCTAAGGTTCTTGTAGTTTTCAACGAACTCATCCTTATTCTTAAACTTTCCAGGATCAAGAAAGTGGAGCAGAGCCCTGCAAAAAATAGAAATAAGTCATATATTGTAAGAGCAGAGTACAAGGTATAAAAGTAGCATATGATACGAGAACGCAGTCCATGTAAAATGTGTTAGCAACGAATCATTGTGTCAGAACTTTAAAAAAAAAAAAAAATCCAATATAAGCTTTGTCAGTGACATCAGGAACACATCATCAGAATTGTAAAGAGTATAGCTTGCATTAAAAAAGAGTTGATCAACCACATAGAATACAGAAAGCAACACTGTCAAAAATTATAAACAAAGAAAGAACATTAACTTGCAAGTTTCAGAATTAATATGAATCCGAAATAGCAAAAAATGCCAATCTCCAGAGAAAGGCTTAAAAAAGGTAAGCAAGCATACCAAAGCTCTTCGACACTATTCTGTAGTGGAGTGCCAGTAATAAGCAATTTGTTCTTCGTGCTAAATTCCTGAAACAAATAAGATAGCCAACCATTCTGAACAACCACAAAAAGAACCATGAAAATAGATAAAAATTCTTACAAAAATCCCATACCAAAAGAGCTGTGTAGAGCTGTGCCTCACTATTTTTCAGTCGATGTGCTTCATCCACCATTAAGTAAATCCACTTAATCTTGGAGAGGACAGCTTTATCCTTCAGAACTACTTCATAAGTAGTCAAAAGTGCATTGAATTTTATGGGCCTGCCTACTTTCTTTTCATTGTAAAATTCGTATTGCTGACATACCTGAAGCCAGAAATTTACAAAATTAAAATTCTACACCAGAGGGAGAGAGTGATAGAGAAGTTTATATGTTGCTCAAAAATATTTAATATGAAATATCTAAATTCTAAGTTGCAATGCCTATCCAATTTGGATAGAAAAAATGTTGAGTAGGCCAGTAAGTGGCATATTAAGATAGACAATGGAGATACAAGAGGAACTCTTAACACCCTGAAGATTATTAGAAGCTATAACATGAACATCATTTGTTTTGATTCTCACCTCTCGACTAGCCCGGGTGCCAACATATACTATTATATTCATGCCGGGAAGCCACTTTCTAAATTCTTTAGCCCAATTAGCTAATGTTGACAAAGGCACAACAACAAGAAATGGACCAGGAATTTGTTGGGTATTCTGCGAGACAAAAAAGAAAGAAAAAACGAAGAGAAATCTTAGCTCATGAAAAGTGGTAATGCTAAGAAAAATAGAACGCTCACTTGAAAATAAAAGAATTTTCACCTGCAAAAACCCAAGCATTGAAACTGACTGAACAGTTTTACCAAGACCCATTTCATCAGCCAAAATGACATTAGTATCATTAAGCCAGCTGGAAAATGAAAGGAAGCGAATCATTAGACTGAGCAGACAAGTAAAGCATTGTCAGAAATAATGAAGTGAGATAAGTAACACACCTGTTGACAAGAAAATTCAAACCCTCCAGCTGATAGTCCCGTAGCGTACCTCCACTTAGCCACTCAGGCTGCTCGTCAAGCTTCCTCAAGCTTGCTACACAGAACAGTAACCACAACTAAGTATTCGAAAAAGATTTTTCACTTACCCTATATCTCAGATATAAAGTGGGAACGGAAGCATACTTTGCAACCATAGACAAAACAAAAATTACCACAAGCAACATAAACATAGCAAAGTGACAGAGTAGAAAAATCTAAGTGATGCCCCTCTTAAGTATTTCATTAAATTTTCTACTACACTGTAACGTTCACATTCTTATGTGAATGAATAAATGACAAAGATGCTGGTCAGTTTATAATCAAATTTTACATGAGTATCCCTTTTGGATTCAAGAGAGGAAGAATGCAGAGACCAAACTAGAACGAACCAGTTCACAAGGTAACGCAGAACCAGCACACAAGATAAGGCAGTTTCTCTAATGAAGAGTATTTTTCTTATATGCTTTCCGTATAATGTGAAAACAAAGAGAACTACAAAACTAGTATTTTTTACGTAACAAACCTTTTCCTTTTGTACGCTGCTGTTCTACCATTTTCCCTTGCACTGCAATTGAAACTTCACGAGCCTGAATCATAGATAGAAATTACCTCACACATTAAAGCAACTTAGATTTCTTTATGGATCTGATTCTGCAGAAATAGACCCATGTATACACTAGTCTAAATATAATAGATTAGGGACTGAAAAGTATAATAGCACTGTTAAATAATTTGAACATTGAGACAGACTAAAAAAAGTTGCTTGATATTTTATAAGCATTTATATTTCCTTGTAGAATATTCTTGTACTATAAAACAACATGTAAACTGTATTTGTCGAAGAACTGGAATTTGACTCAATATTCTTGTTACTACTAAACGAAGGAAAATAACATAGCTGGACAAAGAGTTACAGAATAAAAGCCAAAAGGTAAAGTTAAAGCAGAATTATAACAGAAAAACAAACTCTACCTTGTACTCATCAATAGCAACTTGTGCAAATGCTATATCGACATCCTTCTCCCTAAAAACAACAAAGAAGACAGTAAGAAAATTATACTCGAGGGGTAAATGGATACATAATTACAAATTCTAGATCACTTTATAGCATGCTTATCAACTCATGAAAAAACACACAATCACTATAAAACGAAGGAAACAAGAAACAAGATCCATCCAGAGTGTCAGAAAATATACCAAGTTGCTTCAGCATAAGATAGCCCTTGCCACTTAACTAGATACTCTGGCACAACATCTCCTAAACCATCTTTGCTTATTCGATCTGCAATTATTCTTTCTACCTAAATAACACAAATAAATTAGCTCACAGGAGGAATACTCCAATATAAATTGCAAAAGCAATAGATGTAAACAGCAGCGGAAGACACGTGAAATGAGATTGCAAGTTTGGCGGAACGAAAACACTAACCTGACTATTCTGCTTAATGATGTCCAGATCCATTTCTTTGCTCACATCATTGACCTCAATCTAAAAGGTTGAAAATATATCAAGTGAAAGAATTTCAGATTTATGTACCCTAACAACAATTCTGACAGATCTATTAGATATATTCCAATACATACTATGGCAACACATGTCTAATATGATAATGCCTAAATATAAACAAAAAGTTATCATCTTACGTGGTAAACATGGTTTCACAAGCTAAATAAGAAATATAACCATGATGTGGATTTGTGGACCATCAGTGTTGCATCTTTGGCAATCTTCCTTGTACATATAAAGATAATAAAAAGCAGAAAATCTTCCAGACATTCAAACATTACCTCCTCTCGCGAGAGTGCTGTCCTGTACCTAATCTCCTCCGTCACTTTCTTCGTATAGTTAAGAACCTTCTTGAACCCACTAAGCTGCAAAAACACACAACATAGGCAACAAAACAAAAAATTAGAAAAGAAAATAGCATTATCAAAAATATATGCAAATAGATTGATCAAAAATAAATTAAAAAAAGGAGTCCAAAGAACGTACATTTTGGAGATCACTCAACGTTTTCCACTGACAATGCAAGTGCGATTGGCCTTTCCATTTTATAAGGAATTCCATTTCATTCCAATCTGGCTGAGTATCAAACAGTTGGCTTACTAGAACAGGAACCGTTGATTTGTTATTTGTGTGAACATCTTCACCCATACCCTTCAGCTGGTGCCAGAGCACTTTTTCAATAACATCAGGATCCTCCTCTTCAATGTCATCCTAACGAGCATATATCAGATAAAAGGGAAAAACACAAAATATAAGTTCATTAAATAGCTGGGCAAGGCTTCTAAAGATCATTGCTTTCACTCTAGGTCAAGTAGTTGAAATGAATGGCTGCTCTTGGTCAAATAGTTGGAGTTAATCAAATCAAAAGAGCATAAGCTCACCAGTCACCAATAGGGAAATAAGTTAAATTATAACATGTTTCCAACAGAAAGATAATGCATACGACGTGCAGATTATAACTATAACAATGAGTTATTTAGACCGCATTAGAAAAGGCTCATGAAACTACCGCCAGCCTCTATCAAATGTATCAGATTCCCACAGGAAAACATAAGCAAGTTGAGGGTGTTAAAATGTATAACCTTAAAATGTAACAAGATATCATACCTTTTGGTTTTTACGATTTTTCCCATCATCTATATCTTCACTGTCTTCACTCTCTACATAAGAGACTTTACGAACTGATCGGGTGGAGCTGCGAACTTCACTACTCTGTCCTATGTTATTGGTTGACCTTCCATTGTTTTGTCGGAGAGTTGTGCCTCTTCTGGCCAGGCTTCTAAAACCCTCATCATTGTCATTTTCAGAGTCCTCCTCTGAGCCGTCATCTTGATATGATGTTTTCCTCTTTTGTCGACTAGAAGTATGGAATGATTTTCGTTCGAGTCCAGTGCTTGATTTCCGGAAACCTTTACTTTGTTGCCTCTTGGGCTTTTTTGTGCCATAGTCATCCTCGTAATCGGAGAGATCAATTTCATCATCACTCTCAGGGTCTTCATCAGAAACGTCCCAACCTTGGCCATGCTAAAATTAAACAACCACACAGTAGTAAGAAATCCCATCAAAACTATAACAAGTTACACGCTAGAACACAACATGGTAACTATAATGAAGATTTCTTCTTCCGAATAGCAAACTTAGTTAAGAAATGGCTCAGAAAGTATTTCCATTCTGATGTTCAGTTTTAGCTTCATTGTGAAGAATATGTATCCTAACACAAGAATTGTAAGAAGTCCAACCTTTTTACTTGCACCAACATCATCAACAGCATCATCATAGGGCTCAAAGTCAGCATCTTCAGGGTCATCCTCTGATGAGAAGGAAGATCAAATGTTACTGAAGTTCAAATCAAGCACTTGAGTGGGAAGTATTCAGAGGAAAAAACATAAACGCAAGTCATTCTATTTAGGAATAAAAATTAAAAGAGTTTACCATCTTCCTCCTCTTCATAGTCCATATCAGCATCACCATTGTGGCCATGATTACTATCACTATAGTGAATGTTTTTGTGAATTGCTCTTGAGGCCCTTGAGTTGCTATGGGTAGCAGATCCTGCATTCGGCAGTGATCTAGAATTTGTAGGATTACTATACCCTTTGTAGTGCACATGGTCGCTTTGATTATCTTCATCTTGTTCATAATATTCATCAGACAACATTTCGTCTGCTGGGACATCAGCTTGACCACTTTGATGCGTGTTCATTTCATTATTCTCCTCATTTTCATTTTCATTTTCAGAATCTAACTTTTCACTCCGGTCATTTGAGAGATTATCTTCAGAATGATATGCTTCTTTGTAACCGGATTGTGAATCTTTGGCAGGATCAGAGCCCTCTCTCTGTCCCATTGGCTGACAGTCTTTCCAAAATGTGGAACCCCACCTCCCAGTTACACCCAATCTCCTTGTCGAAGGTTGATAATGGGAATCCACAGGACCAGCTACATTATCAATTGGTGTCTGATTTTGCTGCCTAATACTACATCCTGGTTCTGGGTCACTTTGATACTGTACGTCCATGTTCATGTCAAAGCCTCTTTCACTATAAGTACCATCCACATCTTCATTCAAAGGTGAACTCTGAAAAGTAGCAGCATTTTGCCGCTCCTCATTTTCATCCAGAACATTATGTGAAACAGTATCGTTTGAGTAGTTCCTAAAGAACGCCATCTTGTCACATGAAAACAGCAATCAAAGTAACCACTCTCTCTTGCAATCAACGACAGCCACAATCTTCTAACGTCTCAATAGAACTGAGGAAGAAAAAAAACAGACAAATGAGTTATTAAGCAAGATGATACCAAAAATTTTCGAAAAAAACGACACTTCACACTTGGTTATTGATTAACAGGAAAATAAGAGAAGCAGAGAGAAGCAAAGCATTGTTTTCAACTGAAATTAAGATTATTCCAGAATCCTAGGAGCACGTAACATGAATGGATTTCTCATCTTTATCAATGCCACAACAAAGCAGATCTAACGGAAGCTACTCTGCTCTTCAATTGGGCAAACAACACAACGACGATAAATGTCTAAGCAATCAACAAACTCATTTCAGTGGAACGCAACGAATAAACGAATTGAAAGCAGATCCACAACGTGAAACACGAAATCGAATCCTAAAGCCCTCTAAATCTCGAATTGTCAATTGAAAAACGAATAACGAACCCTAGAATTAGGTACCCGAATTGAGAAAATTTCCAGAGAAGGAAGGAGCACAAAGGAGTTATAGAGAAGAAGCTATTAAACACAGTCACATAAGAGACGATAAACTCTGAGGAAAATTCACGCAAAGTTTGTTCTTCAAAAACAAACTTGATTTGAAAAATCAAGCACGCTTATAAGAATCTCACCGGCTAATCTAATCCTTCAAAATCGAATTCAACAGAAACTGGAAAAGGTTTGTCTCTATTCGTAACGTTTTTTTTTCTGGGATTTTCGGAAGCGGAGTGAGAAGAGAAAACGGATTCTGGTGATGGTAGATCGTAATTGAGAAGACGGAGAGGTCGGCGAGGTTGGAGAAAGACGATCGCCGGTGAGCGAGTTTTGGTTTTGGATGGGATCGTCGGCTGCGAGAGAGAAGGAGAGAGGTCTCGGGGTGATTTTGAAGTGAGAGAGAGAAAAAAAGCGTTTGGAGAAAAGAGAGATTGGGTTATCGGACGATTAATAATATTTGGTTGATAACACTGTGGTTTTGGTTTTGGTTTTGGTTTTGGTTTTTGGTTTTCTCGATAATCAAGTCCTCATTTTCTTTTCTTATATATGGAATTATGGACTTTAGGGTAGGCATGGGATATTTTACTTAGGGTTAGGGTTAAACTTTTGAATTTGGAGACCACAAAAAAGTTAAAACAATATGATTATTTGAAAGAAAAAAAAATATGTTGCATGGTCACACATACCAACTATAAAGGTATATGATCATATCGAGAATTACAAATAATTAGAGATTGACCCGCGGTATACTGCAAGACAATTTGTTTTCTAAAATTTGTGGTTTTAAAAAATTTATGATTATGTTACATATTTAAAAGTTTGCAAATTGTATCATTTAATTTTTTTAAGATATATTTTACGTTTACAACTGTTATTAAGTCTTTTTCTTTGATGAAGAAACTGGCGAAAAACCAGCCAAAGTGATCAAGATAAGGGTTCTTCGCGACCTGTGTCAGCTTATTATGGGCAACTCATGGCATACCTATGCAAACCCAAAAGCTCCTTTGGGGCATAGCAAGATGCAGATTCGACCTGTATATTCTCCTTACATTATAGGGTCAGTAACATTATCATTACTTGGCCCCTTTTGAGAGTTTATAAAGTCGTCTCTCATAATTTATGAATTTTGTTGTTGTTGTTGTTGGTACTATTTTGGCAGAAAGGGTTTTGCAAAGCAGGAGCTGAAAGAGGAGGTTGTGCGACTAGGAGTTGAGCTCTCGCTACATTTTAATTCCTTTTTGATTTCCTTAACAACAACATTACTATTTATATTCCTTAACATGACCGAAATTATGTATTAATGAAAATTCTAAACTTTCCCTTGGGATGAGAATATGATAGAATATGATTTCTTGTTCATCTTCGGCACTAAAGTAATAAACCAGTCGCCAAAGCCAAATCCTACATTGTTAAAACTCATCATGATTTACTTATAAAACAAATTTCTAATGTTCTTCGATTTTTGAGATGCGCATGTTGGCAAAGAACAACGAAAACTCTCCTGACGGTTTTATGTGGCCAGGTGGATGTGGAAAGTTCTAGTGGATTACTATGAGAGCTTTACTCAATCAGATAATGGTAGAGTTGATAACATCGTATTTTAGCCCATTTTAACTATGTTTTTATTAGGTTTTCCATGGAGAAATCGAGAGATATTGGATACTTCAAGGCTGTTTCCAAGTATTTATGCTTCAAGGAAGAATTATGAGTTTTCAAGCAAAAAAGAGTAAAAATCGAGCAAATCTCATTTCAAGACATCTGTTCGAGGTCTCTCCGATCACCAAATCTAGAGATGCCATGGCTATGGAAAGCTAAAAGAGTCAAAATTCGCCTCGAAGTAGAATCAAAACAAACCATTCAGCCATTCGGAAGTTATGCCCAGAAGAGTGAAGACAGTTTGGAATAAGCTACAAATGGTTCTTTTTCTAAATCCACAAAATTGGCGCTTAGATTGTTACGGGAATCCAATAGCTTCATTAGATTCTGAAATGGTAGGTCATATTTGTCCCGCCTACGTTCAAATTGTTCCAAAATCAGTTTTTTTTTTTTTTTTTTTTTTTCCTGAAAACAACATAAAGGTTGTAGCATTTCCTATTGCTCAAGGACTAAACTACAAATGGTTCTTTTTCTGAATCCACAAAAGTGGTGTTTATTGATTGTTATAGGAATCCAATAGCTTCATTAGGTTCTGAAATGGTAGGTCATATTTGTCCCGTCTACGTTCAAATTGTTCCAAATTTAGATTTTTCTGAAAACAACCTTTTTAGGTTGTAGCATTTCCTATTGCTCAAGGAGAAACTGTTCAAAGATTTACCAAGGAACAATTGACTAGGATAGGCAGATCCCTCTTTAGGAATAGAGAGACTCAGAAAATGTTTGCAAGATGTATGGGTTCCTATTGAAAAGTTGTGTTATACACTTGCTTCTTCTTCTATAGTTTTTCACGAATCCACGATTCTGATTTGCGAAAAGATTAGAAAACTCTATTTTGTTTCATCGTTTTTTTTTTTTTTTTTTGGGACAAAGTTTCATCTTTTTTTTTTTTTTTTGTCATCCGAAATTAATTAGTGCTCAAAAAAAAAAACCGAAACAATCATTTAACCACATCTATATATACAATTTTGAAGACATTTATGAAATAAATCCTGGAGTTGGCACTTATTTACAATGTATGCCACTGGTAGGTCGGATCAATTTAAAGATTTTGCACCGAAAATATTGAAACGGATCTTTCCTTATTTCTGCAAAATATTTGTTAATATCCAAAACCAAAAACTACATTAAATGGTTGCATTATAGATTAAATTCTAACAAATCTGGTTTTAATGCTAACAAATTTTTTGTTAATCCATTAATTAATTACCTAAACAACTAACTGGATTTTATACAACTGATCGATATTTTAGAGTACGTGCGTCACTTACTATTAACACATTTTTTTTGAAAAACGTTTAATGCTGAAAATATTTAGTTTAGGTTTTGGAAAAAATAATAATTTGAAATCAGTTCGACTCAATTTAGCAAAAACTAATAAACAACTAAAATAAAATTTGTTCCAATATAATTCGTAGTTTTTAGTTGTTTATAAATTTTAGTTGTTTAATTATAATTCTCTAGATATTCAAAAATTTAAATTGCCTATTGTCTAGATATTTCGTTGTTTAAAATTTTTGATGTTTAAATTTAATTGTTTAAAATTTTAGTTGTTTAAAATATTTTTAATTTCATGGGACGGGGTTAGATGGTAGGACGTGTTTGAGTCGATATTAATACGAGATGGTATAATACGGGTGAAAACCTAGATATAACAATCAAAATACAATTATATCATCTTAAAAACTAAACAAAACAAACAAAATTAACAAAAAATATAATTTAAATTTTAAATTTTTTAGTTATAAAAAAATCGATCCGCGGGGTACCTCAAACATAGTAATTGTACACTAAATAATATATAGATATAACAGTTAAACATTTAGAAAATTCAAAACATTAAGTCATATATATAGTTAATCTACTAAAAAAATTACATTTTGATTTAATTGTAAAATCTAAACACTAACCACTTTTTATTAAACCCAAATAAACATTTATAATCTCGTTTAATTGTAAAATCTAAACTTTAGTTCCTTTTTTTTTTTGTCAACCAGACATTCATTAAAAAATAACTCCATGATTGGTTGCCCAATTAAGAGAAAAATAGTTTACAAAAGTAACATCAGAAAATAAGTCTAAAAGAACGGGCTAAGCAGTCCGCCTTAACCTTAGTTCCTTTATAAACTCAAACTGACATATCAGTTCGTTTAATTGTAAAATATAAACCCTAATCGTCTCTTATAAAGCCAAACCGACATATAACTTCGTTTAATTGTAAAATCGAAACTATTCTTTATAACCACAAACCGACATTTTAACCTCGTTTAATTATAAAATCCAAACTCTAACCTTCCCTTATAAACCTAAATCGATATATAACTTCGTTTATAATTGTAACATTAAATCGTAACCTCTTTTTATAAACCCATACCGACATAAACTCTATCACTGATGATATATTATTATATTTTATTTTAATATTTTATTTTAACTTTTTTATATAGATAAAATTAAATTTTTATTAGGTCAGATTGGTTAAAAAAGAGTTCATCCTTAAAAGTAAACCCAAGAATTTTCCTAATGCAAACCCGCGCTACATTAACACCTATAGACAAATCCCTTATATATTAATTGAGAAGCATTTTAAAAAAATGACCTTATCTTCATGTGTGACTAGTTGTCAGTTTCTCAATAAATATTTTACATTTCTCATCTTACAATACAATGTTTATATCTTTTATCTAAATAGTTCGTAAAATCATATATCGACATCTCATAATCAGATGAGACAATCCAAAATCCGTAAGGATGAGGGATCCATAATGTCGTCTTCTACCCAACGAAGACATGCAAAAAACCTCCAAAGGCTCGAAACCCTTTGGATCTCATCCACTTATGAATATGAAAAACGCTTCAACCTCATATTTGAGAGCAACTTCCCGTAAATATTTGAAGGAAGGACCTGATAACCTAAGAAGTGTGAAGTTGAAGAAAAAAGAAGAAATGGTTCTTCTTAACCTACCGTTTTGTAGAAACAACTATACATGACCGAATGTCGAAATCTGACCTATGTTTACCGAGATAATGACGAAACCTAAAATTTTGCATGAATAATATTTATACATAGCAAATATCATAAATACAGTAAAACCTCTATAAATTAATAATGTTGGGACCAAAAAATTTTATTAATTTAGAGAGGTATTAATTTATCGATAAATTAATAATTATTAATTTATAGAGAGATTTTACTAATTTTGTAATTTCTTAAAAAATTTCTATCTAAAAATAAATTTTTTCTTTATAAGCAATATCTTTCAAAAACTAATTACAAGTGGAGAAGTAATTATTAAGTTTAAAAACAACACAAACTTTTTTCGAATAATAAAGTCATATTTTATTAAAATTTTTACATAGAATATTTTAAATATATATCATAGTAATTCATATATGATATATATATATTTATATCACATATATATACATATTAAGTTATATATATATATATATATAAGTTTATACAATTATTAATTTATGATATAGATGGGACCATATATTTACATGAGATTTTCAAAAAAATTATTATCTTATTAATTTACCGATTTATATCATATTTTACACTGGTCCCAACTCGGAACCGGAAGAATTTATTAATTTAGAAAAGTTATTAATCTATAGAGTATTAATTTATAGAGGTTTTACTGTATTACATTTTAGAAACTGATTTTGCAGATAGGGCATTTCCTAGCCCATC